TGGGGATAGACACAAACAACCAGCTGGAAAAGATAAAAGGAAAGATTACTTGGATATTATGACTACCCACAGAATTGATACAATTGTGCCAAGCAAGAATGGGACTATTGTATCGATATAAAATCCCAATGTTATATGAACTTTCTATTTGAAAGGGAGCAGCTTCTTGCAATATCACTATATGATTAATCCTGTTATCAGAAGGCTGTCTCAACCAGAAGTTTTCAGATTTTTAATGAAAGATGCTAGATCTGTGCTCCCTCAATTCCAGCCGTGGCTTGTGACTCACAAGCATCAAGTCCATCCCTGAACCCAAGGGTTATGCTTTTTATTCTTTGATCTATCCATTCATTTGTCCACCCACCACCTATTCTTGTTCTCCCTCCTTGTCAAGACCAAGTCTAAGAATCTTTGCTCAGAAATTTAATTCTACTGATTTCCCTAGCACGGAGTAATTCATCACTTAGGTTGTTCTGGGGTTTAATCACAAACACAAGTGCCTCCCAAAGGCTAGGCATCTATAAATGACGTTCTCTCTGTGCGTCAGCTAATAGAGAATTCTGGGGACTGGAGTGGCCTGGAGAATGGATGCTCTCAGTAATGGGCAGCCTCACCTTCGCTCTAGTCCAGTGGTTCTCAACCTTCTGGTCCTTTAAATACAGTTCCTCATGTTGTGATCCAACCATAAAATTATTTTTGTTGCTACTTCATAACTGTAATGTTGCTACTGTTATGAATCGTAATGTAAACATCTGATATGCAGGATGGTCTTAGGCGACCCCTGTGAAAGGGTCATTTGACCGCCAAAGGGGTCCCGACCCACAGGTTGAGAACCGCTGCTCTAGTCAGTTGCTTTCTGGTGGGAATTCAGGGCAAGGGCCACACGTCTCCTAGTTTTTCGGGAGAAGCCAGGCTTTTTTGTGATTTTTAAAAAGTGATGGTTCAGTTTTACAAAAGCACTGTGTGGGGCCACCAACAATGGTGTGTCACACTGTAGGTGGGCAGCCTCTGACACCAGTTTTCTCTTTCCATGAGGTGAGGAGCTCCGTTAGCTTGTTGTTTCCAAATTCCAGCAGCTCATGCACTAACCAGTATGCATAGTAGGTACCTGGTCAATGCTTGACCGACTTTCTAGAACACCACATCCAAGCCGAACAAAACTATGACCTCAGCTGACTGTCATCTGTAGGTGGTGCAAAGAAAAGTTTTCCCCTCAAACTCATTTATGTATGGAAGCCTCCTCCTTGCTTCCAAGTCTGGTGGGTCTTATGCATTTGTCTGGCAGGTGCGAGTGAGATATTAATGTGTTCTCTGTCATCTTTACATGAAACGCCCCCTCAGCCTTCCTTGCTAGAACTACCACTAGCAGTATAAACTCATTACCTCTATTTGATCACTCATCCTTCCACATATACTTCTCCCCAGAAATCACTCTTAATAGTAGGGCCACCAGTGGCCTCTCTGATGTTGCATGCAGTGGTGCCAACCAGCCCTGCACATCCTCTTACCTGGCTTGAAGTTAGTCTAGGGCATTTCACGCTGTTCATTATGTCCTCCTTTGTTCCTTAGTCTTTGGGGCTCTGCTCTCGCCTGAATTTTCCTCAGTTTTTCTGGATACTCCTCAACAGGTTTCTTTTCCTGACCAATCCCTCATATGCCCATTCTCTGCAGGTTTCACTCTGGGCCCTCACCCCTCCCCCTCCACAAATTCACCCTGGATGACCTTATGCTCCCCCTGCCCCTCCCCTGCCCCTCGTCCCATGAGTGCTGATGATGCCTAGGTCTGCCATCTCCGCTGCAGACTCATCTAATCAGCTGCCTTCTGGCAGTGTCTGTCTCCATTGATGCTTCAAACTCACAGTCCAGTCCAAGGCTGAGCTCATCACCTTCTGATCCGCTTCCTGCTACGCCTCTTCCTGCATCCCTGTTCTTTGTGAGAGGCGTGCTATCACCTAGTGGCCCACACATGAATTCCGCGACGCTTTCCCAGTGTAGGACTGTCCAATAAGCACAAAAGGGCACCTGCTGGAAACACCAAGAAAACAAAATTAGGGAGCCAAAACATTTTGAAAGCATTCAGTGCTTAAAAATATATCAAAGTAGCCATCCTAGAATAACAGAAACTTTCCGGAATTCCTTTACTTGTTGTATGGCTAGATATTACCTTTATTTTGAATGTTGTATACAGAAGGGTGGGTGGGCGTAACCTTTTTCCAGGGATTAGAACCACTGAGTAAGTTCTTACGGTGGCGCTGGTCTTCCTTAGCTGCCGCTCGCCATGCCTAATTGCTTGCTGAGCCCTGTTGATATTGCTTCATTGACAGCAATTCAGCTGACTCTAATGCCACCTTAGGGGTTTTGCTGTCTGCTACCTGGATTGCTACAGCAGCCGCACAGAGCTGTGTACCTGCTTCCTGTATCTCTCTCTCCTTCCTAAGATCTTTCCATTGTAACTTAGTAAATTCAAAGGAAGTGCCAGGCCCTTAGCCTGGCTGACAAGGCCCTGCTTGCCCTCACTTGGCCTCATCTCCATGCACTAGTCACTTCTAACCTTCACTCTACCCTTCTCGGGCTTGTGCCACCCCCATCCACTCCCACAGACCCCCACCCAAGGAAAGGGTCTGCAGGAGAAGTGGGAGGAAAGGCAGAGGACTCTAAACTGGTGGTCCTCAGAAAAGAAATCAACCCCCATTCCCGGCTCTTCAAAGCTTCCAAGAGGCATCATCAAGCACACAGAGCTAGACCTCAGTCTTTCCCTCCTGTCTCTGGGTTGTCTTGGCGATGGCTTTTGCCCATCAAGTGCAGGTAGATTCGTTTCTGGCCACATGCACAAGAGGGTCATTGTCTTCTTTCTCTCAATGCTCCACTCAGTGTGAGCATCTCCGGGGCACCGGCCACGAGCCGGCCTCTCAGCTGACAGAACCCGTGCCTGCTGTAAACAGGGCCGGGAGAACGCTCTGTGCGCCTCCGGTCCGGGCTCAGCCTCGGCGAGGGAGGTGGCATTACTCACTGGAGCCCCATCCTCTCCTCTCCCCGACATTGCCCATTCTCACCAGCGGGCTAAAGTGGGGGGTGGATGGGGAGGTGGAGGAACACAGAGGAGGGGGCTGTTTGTTTTCTTCTTTGTGTTAACAATACAACATCTGTTCCCCAGCCTGGCAGCTGGACCAACGTGAAATGATGTGAGCTTTCATTGCCCTCTGGAGCGGGGGTGGGGAGTGGGAGAAGGAAGGAGGGTGGGTGCAGCCAGGGCCAAAGTGTCCCTGAACAATAACAACAGCAACAATAATGAAAATACCTTCCACACTGCTGGCCAGGCTGGGAATCCACAGAGCTGGGTAACTGGATATTCCAGCTGATCCACATATTGCAACGAATGCACTGAGCAGCGATCTGTGTGCCTTTGTGGAAGAATCACCCAATTAAAAGGATAGTGTTTACCTGGTAAATATCTATTTTGGCTCATGCACTTTGATAGAAAACTCCTTTATTTACCCAAAAGTGATGCCTAGAGAGGTAGAGTGAGCTGGAGCAGAAAAGAAAATGAGAGTTTGGAGAGAGCAGTGAGGGGAAAGCAGGACCCACATCCTCCTGGTTTTCCTCCCACTCCTTCCTGTACCTCTCTTCTCTGAGGTCTCAGGTTGGCGTGCTCCTGGACTTGGCCATCGGGCCTTGTCTCTCTTCTACCCATACTCAGTACCCGTGCTTTCATCTCGTGTAATGAGCATAAGTAAGTGCCATCTAATTTTAGGGCCTTCCTATGAGGCCTCCTTTTAACCCTGACCTCTCACACTGTTAACACCAGCCTTGCTGGCCTCTGTTTCTAGGATGTGCCAGGCACATTGCCCGGCTTCTTCCTGAACTGCTTTTCTCTCTGCTTGTTGCTTCTCTATACTCTCTCATCTTTAGGCCTGTATCTGAGCATTTGGTGATCTCCTTTCTTAGCATATTTTTCTCCACAACACATCCCACCTAACAAGTTCTATCTGTTTAGCTCATTGCCTTCTCCCAACAATGATGTAAGCTATATGAGGGCAGGGATCTTTGTCTGTTTTGTAGTCACCTGGAACAGTGATTTGCAGATAGAAGGCACTCAATAAATATATGATGAATGAATTAATTGATGAGTAAATAAGTAGATGGGTGTGTGAGCTTTGCTGCTGTTTGTGGCAGGATGGCCAGAGTGCTAGGGGCTCATTCCTCAACCTCTGAATCAATGAGAAAGTGCTTGTTGAGTGTTTACTTTGGGTGTAATATCTTTCCTCCCCTGGGCCAGGAAGGCAAGTTAGACTCCTGGGGACCCATTGTGGCTCTCTGGAACAGGATTTGGGGCTGCCCCTAGTGGAGGACACAAACAAAGGCTTCCATTCCAGTTTACAGAGCCCCCTCCCCCTTCTTTTTACAGACTGGCTGATAGTAAGGATTCCTGGGCAAAGGCAGTAGATTACAGATAAGGGGACATGGGAACAGCTGTCACTCAGACAGAAGAGGGGAAGGTGAAGGGTGCAGGCTGTCAGGTCAGGGCCTAACCCCTATCATCGGGAGCAGACCATAGCCCTCTCCTCTGCAACCTTCCTTGGGGCCACCTGGGCCCATGCCTTTGCTTCTTGACTCGTCAGCCTTCCACCCAGGGCTAGAAAAAAATGCAACAAGAGTGGTCATTTCCCGTGTTAACCAGGGCGCATTACATTTGCACGGTGTGCTGAGAACCCCCATGCTCATTTCTTGTGCATTATTTGAGAGCCAACCACACGCAAGGAAACGGTGCTAAGCATTTTTAACAAAGCACAGTGAATGCTATGAAATACTATTGTAACCAAAGCAACAGGTAGTAGGCAGATATTATTCCCTTTTTCACAGATTAGAAAACAGATTTAGAATTTAACTTGCTCAAGAATACCTGGGGATTAGAAGAGCTCTGGGGATTGGACTTGAGCCCAGGGGCTCTGGTGCCCAATTCAGTGCTCTGACCTTTATTTTACACTGTGTGTCATTCACAGGTGCCTTCCTCAACATTTTCGAAGCTCACACCAGCTTGTGGCCTCCATCTACCCGGTCCAGAAGCAGAAGCAACACCATGTGCGAGCTGTTTGTCTTTCTCGAAGTCTGCCTGCTAAGGTTGGAGGTAGGGCCCAGGCTTCTGTGATAATCCGTTTGAGTTCCGTCACTCATGACGTTGTCCCAGCTCTGCACTTACTAGTGGGTGACACTGATGAGGTTATTTAACCCCTCTAAGCCTCAGGTTATTCATTTGTAGTATGGGGATGATAATAGTTCCTACATCAAAAGGTTGTTATAGGGATTGATGAATGTGTATTGTTAAAGCAATGCCTCGGTTTTCTACGGCTGCCATGACAAAGTACCACCGACTGCATGGCTTAAATTCCTGTTGTTTAATCAATTTCTCCCAGTCCTGGAGGGCAGATGTCCAGCATCAAGGTGTCAGCAGAATTGGCTTCTCCTCAGGCCCCTCTCCTCGGCTTGTAGATGCCACCTCGTGCTTTGCCCTCACATGGTCTTTCCTCTGTGCACACATGCCCCCGGTGTCTTTTTCTCTGTTCTAATCTCTTTTTATAAGGACACCAGTCACACTGGACCAGGGCTCACCCTAATGGTTTCATTTGAACTTAATCACTCCTTTTAAAGGCCTGGTCTCCAAATGCAGTCATATTCTGAGGGTATGGGGCTTAGGGCTTCAACATGTAAAATGGGGGAGGGAGGGCTTAATTCAACACGAAACAAACACCTAGAACAGTGTTTAGCACATAGAATGTTAAATAAATAAATACAATCTGATGTCTTGTCTGGATCCTCATTCTCAGCCTCTACTGCTTGGTAGGGGCATTGAGTTCTGTGAGTTCATTGCCCTGTGTGCACAATTACACTTCCTTCTCTTGTTCTAAATGCATCTCTCAAGCTTCCAGAATGGTTTCAGGTCCTAGTATGTTTACACTATTGGGTATTGGAAGATTCTAAGTTTACTTTCTCCATTTCCTTTGTGATTTTCTAGAATTTGTGGGTATAGTTCTATGCCATTCTATCTATTTTTAGATATCCGCTCTCAGCTTTTATCCTTTATCCACGGCACAGCCGGAAGACCTGGCCTAGGAGTCAGGCGAACTTGGTTCAAGCCTCAGTTATGCTACAAGCCAGCTTTGGGCAAGCTCCTCAATTTTCTGAACCAGTGATTCTCTAGATTAGTGGTCCTCAACCTTCTGGCCCTTTAAATTCAGTTCCTCATTTTGTGACCCAACCGTAAAATTATTTTCATTGCTACTTCATAACTGTAATGTTGCTACTGTTCTGAATCGTAATGTAAACATTTGATATGCAGGATGGTCTTAGGCGACCCCTGTGAAAGGGTCGTTTGACCGCCAAAGGGGTCGCGACCCACAGGTTGAGAATCGCTGCTCTAGATGAAGACGGGGAGAATGGACACTTTACTGATGCTTCATATCCAGTAATCATTAAATAGAACACGGTAGTTAAGTGTATGGTCTTTGGAATCAAAACAGATGTGGGTTTAAATTCCACCTCTGTCACTTTCTACACTATGTAAACTGCAATTTTAAAAAAAATTTTTAAATAAAATGGTACTTCTGGAGTCCTTCTTTTTTTTAAAATTACAGTTTACATAGTGACTTTGCTACTCTCTTAATCTCTGTAAGCCTCAGTTTCTCCAGCTTTAAAATGGGAATAACAGTAGTATCACCTCGCTTCATAATAAAGCCCCCTTAACACCGTCCCCTTTAGTTTAAATACAGGGGTCCTCAAACTTTTTAAACAGGGGGCCAGTTCATTGTCCCTCAGACCGTTGGAGGGCCGGACTATAGTTTAAAAAAAAACTATGAACAAATTCCTATGCACACAGCGGCGGCAAAAACACCCGGCGGGCCGCATGTGGCCCACGGGACGTAGTTTGAGGACCCCTGGTTTAAAACCTGGCACATCCTAAGTGTGCAAACCCCCTCTTTGGCTTCATTCTTTTCTCGAGTTATCGTTTCTGGGTGTCTTTTCAGTCAGCTAGCATCCAGAACCACACACACTGTCCCTTTCAGGTGGAGCAAGAGTTTGTTGTGTTTGAAGGAAGAATAATATTCGCTGTTTTGTTTCTGGTTCGTGATGTTCAGCATTTTTGTTTGCTTTTTTGGCCAAAGCAGCACACTCATCTCATGCTCTCTGCTGGGTCCTAAATAGAAAAATTCATCAGCCAACAGAATAGGCTCACAATCGTGAGACTGCTCGATCAAGGCCTCTGTCATGATCAGGATATGGAAATGAGTGTCTGCAAGATTCTTTTCATTGGGTTTTATCATCATACTTCTTGTAGCCTTTTATAATAGCAAAGTGTCAAATAATTTCTTTCTTTTCAAATTTTTGTCTAACCTTCACTTCAGTGTATAATGTAAATTAATAAATTGATAGCAATATTAACCTTGAAGCATGAAATCCATCCTATGTTTCATCCACAGATAAAGAAACATAGGAAAGGTGTACCCCCTTCCTTGACAGCCAAGGCAGATATTTAGTATAAAACTTCTTGGTCCCATCTGAAAGGCTGAGACGTTTGGTCCCTAAGTATGAGTCACAGGTCTTATATCTTAATAGCTCTTGACATAGTTGCAGGAAGAGATGGTTGAAGGTGGTGACAATAAAGTGGAGGCTCCTTATACGAAGTGACACAGTTTCAAACAAGTGAAATAGCAATTAAGATTCATTTGGAAGAACATTTTGATATTCTAAGTTTATTCCGCTTCAGTTGTTTTAAAAGAGGAGAAACTGTAATGCAGCTAAAATGAGTTCTCTGTGTTCTTTCAAAACACTTCATGTTTTGTGAAAAAGTGTAAGTTTATTGTAGCTAAAGGAATGTCAAAGACACCTGAATTTGATTACCAAATGACAGTCTACCAGGTTTTAGAAGACAGCAGCTATGCTATGTCTCTTGGAAGTCTGCACTTTACATGGTTAAATACCTTTACTTCAACTATATCTTATATGATAGGGCCGTCCAATTCTGGGTGTTTTGTCTAGCTGTCAGTGTGTTTCAGTCTGGAATCTGAATTGCTATTTCAGATGCAGATTGATGTAAACAAAATAAAGTGGTACTTCTGGAGACCTTCTTTAGAATTAATTTTTTTTTAAAATTACAGTTTACATTCAATATTATTTTGTATTACTTTCAGGTATACAACATAGTGATTAGACAATCATATACTTTATAAAGTGATCCCCTGGGTATTTCTAGTACCCACCTGGCACCATACAGTTATTACAATATTATTGACCATATCCCCTATGCCGTACTTACATCCCTGTGACTGTTTTGTAACTACCAATTTGTTGTTCTTAACCCCTTCACCTTTTCACCCAGTCCCCCAACACTCTCCCCGCTGGCAACCGTCAATCTCTTCTTTGTATCTATGAGGCTTCCATTAATCCTAGCCAGATTAGTTTGTCAACCACATCACAGTATTGTAGTCAGTTAAAACCTTTAAAATATCTGCTATTTTCTTCTCCTAAACAAAAGCATTTTTCTTAAGCTGTTTATTGTGAACTAGAGGCCCAGTACACAACATTCCTGCACTTGTGCAGGGGGGGGGGGGGGGCGGAGGGGGAGGGGCGGGGAGGGTCCCCTCAGTCTGGCAGCCCTCGGAGGATGTCTGACTGACAGCGACTGACAGCTAAGCCCAGTCCGACATCCTTAGCGCTGCCATGAAGGCGGGAGAGGCTCCTGCCACCACCGCTGTGCTCGCCAGCCGTCAGCACACTGACAGAGCACACTGACCACCAGGGGGCAGCTCCTGCATTGAGCATCTGTCCCCTGGTGGTTAGTGCATGTCATAGCGACCGGTAGTTCCACCGTTCGGTTGATTTGCATTTTACCCTTTGTTATATCGGATAATAATAGATTCTTGGGAAGTTGCAAAGATAGTTCAGAATGGTCTCAAATACCCTTCCTCCAGGTTCCCCCAGAGGATATCTTAACTATAACACAATATCAAAATCAGCAAATTGACATTGGTACAATGTGTGGGTATAGTTCTATGCCATTTTATCTATTTCTTGACTTTAAAGTATCTGAGTTCAGCCCTGGCCGGTGTGGCTCAGTTGGCTGAGCATCGGTCGTCCCATGCACTGAAAGATCACCAGTTTAATGTTATTCCTGGTCAGGGCGTGCAGCTAGTGTGTGGAAGAGCCAGGATGAGACCTTGGGCAGGCCAGCTTGGGAGTGCACACTACGGCCTTCTACCTTGTGCATTTGGAAGGAAGTCACTTTGCACAGCCCATACTTAAGGGGTGGGAGTTAGGTTCCACCTCCTTCAGGGCGAATTAGCTACATAAATTATTGGGAATTCTTTTGCATGGGTGATTTTTATTTTCACTTATTTATTTACATCACATGGACACACAGATATTTATTTTTCACCTTGGGTAATAATTTACTACTACTTTATTTAATTGCTCAAATTATTCCAGTTTTGGCCATTGGGAGCTCTGTCAGGTTGCTCCTCGGTCATTTTGACATACTCCCATGAATGTGGGTTTTTTGTTTAGTTTTGTTTTTTTGTTTTTAAGCACTTCCTTACTTTCTTTTTTTTTTTTTTTTTTTAAGTGTATTTTATTTTTATTTTTTTTTTCCTCTTTTTTTTTTAAATTAAATCTTTATTGTTCAGATTATTACATTTGTTCCTCTTTTTTTTCCCCCCATAACTCCCCTCCTCCCAGTTCCCGCCCCACCCTCCGCCCTCACTCCCCACCCACTGTCCTCATCCATAGGTGCACGATTTTTGTCCAGTCTCTTCCCGAATCTCCCACACCCCTTTCCCCCCCAGGAATAGTCAGTCCATTCCCTTTCTATGTCCCTGATTCTATTATAATCAACAGTTCATTCTGTTCATCAGATTATTTATTCACTTGATTCTTAGATTCACTTGTTGATAGATGCATATTTGTTGTTCATAATTTGTATCTTTACCTTTTTCTTCCTCTTCCTCTTCTTAAAGGATACCTTTCAGCATTTCATATAATCCTGGTTTGGTGGTGATGAACTCCTTTAGCTTTTCCTTATCTGTGAAGCTCTTTATCTGACCTTCAATTCTGAATGATAGCTTTGCTGGATAAAGT